CGCTTGACGAGGCAAGGAGCTGCAGAACTTAATGAAGAGCGGGATTTTTCAAAAACGCGTTTCCTGCACAGCACGTCGAGCCGTGCTTGCACAACCAGGGCACGCGTGGGGCGCGGGGCGCACCCTTGGCAAGGGGCGAACCTGCGCCTCGCCCCGGCTACAGACACGCACGGGAAGTCCTCGGGGTGCACACGCGGGGATCGCTCTGGAAGCGACCGGGCTTTGCTGCGCTCCGAAGCCCCGCTCCACACAAAACATCCGCTGCAAAAACTGCGCTGAAACCAGCGCCAGACTGAACTGGGGACTTGGCAGCCTTAGGGCGAGGGAGCATTCCACCGCTGCCCCGAACCAAAAATCTTCACCCAGGGGCCACCAGGGTACATAGGCTTCATGCTGCAAGAACAAGCTTTTGTCCTCCCTCGGAGAGGAGAATACTGGTGACCGTGATTTTCCCCTTACTTTGCATTACGAAACTTCTCACCGCCGTTGCACTCAAAGCCAGGTTCACAGGTAGCATGCTGCTTCCGTTCCACGCACAATCGTCGTTTGTTTTTCCTTCGTGCTGCCACATAACCAATAAAGTCGAGAACCAAGCACTTCTAAGACACTCTACATGCCTTGGTCTCGCTTGGGCAGAAGGAAAATATACGCGAACGCTTTTGTGGCGTAAAAAGGGTGCATACAAAAATGGTACGGGCTTTTGGCTTCTGGGAATGGGTCAGTCAAAAAAGATGGGGCAGCATGTGTCCTTCGCTACGGCTGAGAGAAGCAACGGGAACGACTAGGTCAACTGTTTAACTGCTTACTGGTATTTCCCAGCCCTTTGTCTGTCTTCGGGTGAATTCAAAACACTGCTCTATTTTAAGAGATGCCATACCACACACAAAAAAAAAACCAACCCCAAAACCCAAACCTCAAAAGCTCCTGACTCCTTAGCCATGTTTCTAAAACACGATATTGCTGGAATTCTCTTTTTGAGGGGAGGCGTAGGTATTCGTCAGCATCACCTGTAAGTTAAGCTGCATCCTTTCATCTTGAAAACGTACTAGAATTTGTGAATAAAAACCATCTGTCACAAGTTTCTGAATGCATAAATTCCTTTATTGAAAATATTGTGATAGCACTGCATTACATATATTCAATATTCATAGTTTCAAGGGTCACAGAATTTTGATTGAACAACACTGTTTTGAATATAGACCACAGCGTTTAGATATGCTCTGACAAGGATAATATAATGGAGTAACTTGTAGGTAGCGATAGTGAAATGTGTGTAAAAATGTTGAACTTGGTTGGATTGGTTTGGTTTTCTTTTTTTAACTATTAAGTAGCCTGCCACCATTTCAAAGAGAAAACAGTATTAGATATTCCTGGTATCTTCAAAGCATTATGCTGTTAGCAACTTCCAAAATATTTTACAGCATTACCAGTAAGAACCTTACTTACGGCTGTAAGAAGACCACATAGAAGGGAAGTGTGAAAAGCTCACGTGCAGCGCGTTACAGGCTTACTGTGTATAGCGTTGGCTTTCAGACTGTGACATTTCTGTGCAGGATGAAGATTTAGTAATGCTTTTGAAAGAAAACTGCTTGGCTGCTTTTTTTTTTTTTTTTTAGATCTACTCAAAAAGGGAAGAATGGTAACTAAATCGAGTTGTATTCCTCAGTTATTAATATTCCAGAATTAGACTGTACTGTTTGATGCACGGAAGCACGCTACCGTTTCTAAAACCCGCCTTTCCCAGGACTGTGACACATTCGAGTAAGGGCAGGATGGCGTCCGAATGTGGGTTGCGTTTGGACTGGGTAAACAAAACCACAGCATAACGGGAAAGCAGAATTCTTTAGCAAATAGTGGAGATTGCCAGTCCTCTGTCACACCCTCTCTATTCACCGAAATTCTCATTTTTCGACATGCAGTCTTGTCTTTTCAGTGTTGAGGTGGTGGTGGGGGAAAGCATCTGATTATTTCATGAAAAACAAAGAGGAATATTTCGTGGCCTGTCAAATCCTAAAAGCCAGCCTGTTGTTTCAAGTCTTTTTCAGAAATATTCACCGAAATTCTCATTTTTCGACATGCAGTCTTGTCTTTTCAGTGTTGAGGTGGTGGTGGGGGAAAGCATCTGATTATTTCATGAAAAACAAAGAGGAATATTTCGTGGCCTGTCAAATCCTAAAAGCCAGCCTGTTGTTTCTAGTCTTTTTCAGAAAGGAAATCATATATATAATTACTAAAAAAAAAAAACGAATTACACTAACATGACCTGGCCTGTTAGGGAAATAGCATTCTTCTCTCAGTCTCAGTTGTATCTTCTCCTTAACAAAGCACTTATTCTTCAATTTGTAGAGAAGCGCTCGTAAAAGCACAGTGGGTGGCTTATTTTGAATCATTTAGCGGTGATACAGAAAAACAATCATCTCATAGAAATGTCCTTCGTAAACAGTCAAATAATACTAGGGCAGATGCTCAGAGCGTGCTGTCCCAATTCTGTTGACTGCAACAGAGCTGATACAGTCTATACCAAGTGGCAGTTTGCCCAATGTCTCCATACACTGCCAAAATAATAATCTATTAACAGGAATGTGGCAGCAGAGTTAGTAAGGAGCACTATCCACCTTCTCCCTCATTTCAGGAAAAAAAAAAAAAAACCAAAACAAAACCAAAAAACTAAACACCCCCCCCAAAAAACAGAATTATGCACTCAAGTGTTTCTGCCAGAAACCAAACCCTCTAATTAGGGTAAAATGAAAACCAAATCTCATTTACAAAATAAAAATATAAAAATTAACTTCAGAAATCAAGTAAATTGATTCAGAATAAATGCCAATGCATAAGAAACCTACCCAAATAGTAATTATTTATCAAACTGAGATTTGAAACACTAAAAGAAAAAAACTCATAGCTAATACATTTACAAAAAAAAAAATCTGCTATACAATAACAATAAATAAAAAGATTTTAAAAACATGTTCCCTTAAGTGCTGTGTACACCTATTTCTGATTCTTTTTCATGGCAAACAGTATGCTCTAGATTTTGGTAAAGCAACCTTTTATTTTTGGTTAGCATTTGTACATTGAACATAAATACACATGGAATGTACTAGATAGGTATTGTTTTCCCACAGGATCTTTTTCACAGTTACAGAAAAAGTTTTCAACTTACACACCATGAATGTTTTCATAAGCATCGTATCTTTGATGGAAGAGTGCTGGAGGAGGAAGTAAAAACCACTTCAGACTGATCTCTAACTGTTCTGCCTCTTACTGCCTCTCAAAACCAGCTCTGTTTTTTCTTGGGTTGGTTGGTTGGTTTTTGGTTTTTTTTTTTTGCGTAGTCATGCTCTGGTACAAACGAGGAAAAAGCGTGTAACATTGTGAGGCAGCCTGCACCTTCTAGTTAGCGTTTAAGTGCCCAGTGGATCCAGTCCTTAAGGCAGTCAGTATTTCATTCAAATGTCCATACTTCTACATCTTGTATTATGAAATCTTCTTTTTTAGATAAGATGTCATTATTGAAGGTGCTGCAGGAGTTGCTTCGCCCGTGATACAAATCTGCATCTAACCATAAGCCAAACCGGCCACTGGAAAGGAAATATGTGACAGATTTCATGTTACATATAATAGTAAAAATACTGGAAGCTGTAGAAGCCACCAGAGGAGCGATACAGAGGAATTGGATAGGGTTGGCTTTCAGACTGGTGCATTTCTGGGCAGGATGAAAATTTAGTAATGCTTTTGAAAAAAAACTGCTTGGCTGCTTTTTTTTTTTTTTTTTAGATCTACTCAAAAAGGGAAAAATGGTAACTAA